ACACGAAAACATAAATGTTTACACTAGATAGCTTAAATCTCATAACATTATACATTTATATATATTATTTTTTATTATGTTGACTTTCAGCCATGACTGGCTAACAATACAGTAGTTACAATGACATGGGACATGTGCACTCATGTTACTGTATCAAATATTATAAAACTGACCTTTAGTCTTCACAAAGTGACCTGTCTTGGCTGTGTTTTAGTAGACTAGTATTTTGTAAAATAAAGTCACATTTCCATTATTATACATTATATATGTATATAGATTTTTACTATTTAGAAACAAGTTTTTAAACTTATTTTTTTTAAAACATAGAACATTAAATATAGAAGTAAATCAAACAATTATTTTTTATAGTTACAACCTTTTAACTCGGTTGCTGCTTGATGTCGGTTGCTAAGCCTTTTAAAAATTCACACGTGGGGGATATGAAACAAAATAATTTTTTTAGGTTTTACATATACAGTTGATAACCAAAAATCATAAATTACTATATCGATTCCACAACATTCCACTACAATATATCAAGCTAGGTAACTAAGCTGTATTTGAGTCTAAAACAATATGAAATTTTGAGCATACTAAAGACACAACCTACCTCCTTGAAATATTGGTTCAAAATAAAGAGATGGCATCCTAACACATGAAAATGGCTGAGAAAGCCACTAGGGGGACATTCTGAGCTTTTGATTGGTTATTCACATCATATTTTGAAGTATGTGTATATAAGGGACCATTGCCAAAAATGGAAAGATGTGAGTGGGGCCATTGTATTTATTACACGAGCAATATCTTATAAAATAGAAAAGACAAGATGTTTTTGTTTTATATTTTAGCTTGTCTATATCAGTAATTTGAGTTCCTAATTTGTACGAAACTATAGATTTAGTATTATGACATCACAAACATCTAATTTGAACCAGTGCTGCATTCAATATACCATGTGACACACAATATCAATAGTTGTTTAACTGTTTTTTAATATTTACATTTAAATTAAGAAATTAAATAATGTATAATACTAAAATTTGAATTATAATCTACAGTTTGATACCAAACCTATTGACATAAATTTATAAAATAGTAGTTCAATAAAATTTTGAATGCAAGTCAACAAACATGATGACATGGCCTTTGACCCGTGACCCATCTGGAGAGGTTTAAAGTAAGAACTTTAAATGTATTCATATACTACATAAAAACACTAACAACAGCTTAAAGATTACATCACAAATCAAAATAAAATTTTCATCATTGACAAAACTTATTGATACATATTTGAATCTTATTTTTATATGATGCAGTGAAAACTGGATAAGTCATAATGGGCTGAGAAATTCCAGAATACAAAATTTCCAATGTTTCAGTTTACACCTTTTTCAAAGTACATTATTTTCTTCTTACTATTCAGACAGAATCCTATACCTTGAAAAACACTTAGGCCAAAATTTTGATAATAAACTATTATTCTTTCCAAGTGCAAAACAACAAAAAAAGTAAGATATTTGGGGGTATTTAAGACATTAATGCATAAATAAACAGAAATTACAAAAATATAAACAAATAAAATAAACAGAAAGTACGTTTGGAGCCTTTAGAAAGGCTTGGCTTCTTTAAATTGCCAATATTTTTTGGTCTAATTTGCTCATTAGTTTGTTCAATTATCGTGGACTAACCAGCTAATTGAAAGTTCAAATGTTATTTTTTCAGACGAACTCTTTTAGTGCCATGGACATATACAAGTCCCTCTCTAGAGTGCTACAAATGGCACATATTTCAGACACACTAACGTTTGTTTCAGCTTTGAAAAATGTTGTATTAAGTAAATGTTCTAAGAAACATGTATGCTATAAAATCAATAATTTAATAATTAAAAAAGCATAAATGTTGCATATGTACTAATAATTATTTTACTTAACCTTTCCGACAATCTGAGAAACTAATAACCTGTGAAATATTTCAGGTAATGATCTCTGAAAATATTCATACTGATATGATTAGTTAGTGAGTTACAAGTAATAATACAACTCCAGTGCTGTCTGTGCATATTTAAAAATAAACCTGGCACTGCTAGAGTTGTTTATTTATAAAATGTGGTAGTGAAAGATATAAGAGTGGAGTGTGTGTACCTGCATATAAATCGAAGATAGCTTTGATATACAGAAACATCTGTTAGCTGAGTTTTTGCAATGATCTTAAAATATAACGTTCATAAATGGAAACATGTAGATACGTAGATCTTGAAAGTAGAGTTGTTCAATTAAACAACATGTACCCACATCCATATAAACTAAGAGCGTGAAAGTAAAGAATTTACCATGTCGTTCCTGTAAAACAAAAGTTCTACCACCAAAATGTGAATCAGCGATTGGCCAGCATTTACTAGTGAACCCGACTTGTGCTGACAACTACACGAATAGCATGTTTGAAGTTGTTGCAAATGGTCAGTCGACCTTTCATCTCTTTATTTTGGAAGCCACCCTTTAATAAAACACATAAACCTGTCCTTTGCTGCCAAAAAGAATTCTTATACAATCTACACATCCTAAAGGATATGCCAATCAGTGATTGCCTTACCGGCCTACGGTGATCTGACTCATTTTATA